CACCAACTTTTATCACAGATGTGTTAGGCTGCGAGAAGACCCTGGTGCCACCTGAGCCTACCACACGGAGTAGCAACATTACTCATTCCTATTGATAGGATAACCCCTCCCATCACCAAGTCCCCCTCTCGTGACCTCCTAAGCCAGTGGCAGAAGAGTGCATCATGGCCAGGGCACCCCCAGCTTCCAACTCAGGGATGCCATTATGTTGCTCTCTGTCCAAATGATTGCTTTGTTGGCTACTGATATCTCCAAATCAGGAGAGGAAGGCCTAATGGGCCTAAGAGGCAGAGCTTTCATTCTTTGCAAAGAGGGCACCACTCTGCTCCCAGACTTGGACAGGCACTGTGGTCCTCCACCATGGCTTGTCATGGACTCTATCAGCACCCTGGTCAGTCAGGACGCCTCTAGGACTGTAGAGTCACAGGACCTGGTTACAGTGACCAAGCGGCTTGTCTGCCTGCAGTGAAGACTGGACCAGCTGGCACCTTCACACGCTCTGCCTGCTGCTGAAAGCCGGCAACCTGCTGGGTCACCTGAATGCAGGTAGAAGAAAGCGGTCTCTGTTTCCTCCACAAAGTGCTGCACACAGACAACCTGAGGCACAGCAATGGGACCTTTGCCGTGGAGTGGACAGGCCCGAGCTTGTTGTACCCCAGAGAGGAGCTTCATGAGAAAGCATGAGCCTGTGTTTTCATGGGGTCTACTTCCCACTCTCTGCTTCACATGGCTTTTCCCAAAGCAACCTACAACTTTCTCCTTGCCAGGTGCCAGGAACTCAAGGCCCTGCAGGCTGTGGTCAAGGTCCGCCCGGACTAAATGACAGTTGAGATCCAGAGTGTTCACATACCCCTGAGGCACGACCACACTGCTGTCCTCCCAGGGGACAGCAAGCTGCCTCTGTGGTTTCCTGCATGGTGAAATAAACTGATAAACAGCAACGGAAATGGCGTTCTTGGGCTCAGCGGCCGCCGGCAGGTGCAGCACCCAGACCCACATGTTCCAAGCAAGAGTTTCCAAAAGTGCAGCTGCAGCTGCTACTATTAAACCCACTTACTAGAATGAGAATGCTATGGTTTGTATGTGTCCCTCCAAAATTCATACTGAGATCCTAAAATCCAATGGGATAGTATTAAGAGGGGGGCCTTTGGGAAAGTAAGTCATAGGGACCCTGCCTTCACGAATGGATCAGTGCTTTTGTAAAAGAGGGTGAAGGGAGTGCCCTGGTGCCTTTTTCCCTTTCATTTCTTCTGCCATGTGAGAACACAGGCTTCATCCCCTCTAGAGGATAGAGCAACAAGGCACCACCTTGGAAGCAGAGAGAGCAGCCCTCACCAGACACCAAATGCTGGCACCTTGATCTTGGACTTTCCAGCTTCCAGAACTGTGAGAAATACACTATTGTTTGGTTATAGCACAAACAGATGAAGACACCACTGCAAAGTTGCATTTTTTCTTTGCAACTAGCAAACAATCTGTGGATCTCCTGGTGACATCCAGTTCCCCAGCAAACATTCTCTTCCTGGTGGGAGCCTCTGCTGCTGGACCTTGCCTGAGTCGACTGTTTTACTAGGTGTTGCTAAGTGGCAATGCCTGACCGTGCAGCATCTACAGTAGCCCCAAGGATGCCGCCTTTTTATCGCTGAGTAACAGTAACAGTCCATGCGAATTAGTCCGTTCCTGTTGCTTTTAACAGAATACCTGAAACTGGGTAATTTATAAAGAAACAAAATTTATTTTTTATAGTTTGGAGGCTGGGAAGTCCAAGGTCCAGGGAACACATCTGGTGAGGGCCTTGTCTGGGTGGTGACTCTATGGTAAAGCAGAGTGTCACATGGTGGGAATGGGCTGAGCAAGAAAGCACTAAGCTTCTCACTTGCTCTCCTTTTAAAGCCATCAGAACCGTGTCCATTCCTCCATCAATGACCAATCCATTCACAAGGGCACAGTCCTCACAATCTAATCACCTCTGAAAGACCCCACCTTTCCAACACTATCATAGGATTTCCCATCCTCTTCACACTGTCACAATGGAGATTAAGTTTCCAATGCATGAACTTTTGGGGGACACATTTATAGCACCATGGCATGGATGGACCAGTTTTTTTTAACTGGTCACTTTTTAAGGGACATTCTGATGGTTTCTAGTTCAAGGCTCTTATAAATAAGTCTGCTATAAGTACCCACGTACAAGTTTTTGAGTGGACTTAAGTTTTCACGTCTTTTGCACAAATGCCCAAGAGTATCATCGCTGGATCGTGTGGAGAGCAGAAGTTGATTTATAAATTTATGAATCCGTGATTGGATTTATAAGAAGCACCGACTCTGTATGATTCTCTCACTCTTCGTTTTAACTCCTGCTGAGTCTGTACCCACAGCCCCTTCTCTTTCCCAACATTGCTTTCTTTTTCTCGTGATCTGATTTGCCGGACTTTGCTAATTTTATTCATCTTTTCAAGGCCGCTTCTGGCTCTTGGCTCTCTCTATTGTGCCCCCTCCCATGTCATTATTTCTGCTCTTATCTTTATTATTTCCTTCCTCCTGTGTTATTTGGGTTGATACCAGTGTGCCGATTCTAGCTTCTTCAGTGACACGCTTGGCTCGTTAACTTCCAGCCTGCATCTGATGTAAGTTCTGAGGCCACACGCTCCTCCCAAACCCCACTCTGCCGCGTCCCGTGAGTACTCAACGTAGCTTTTCCAACATCATCCACTTCTGAGTATTTTTAAATTTCCATCACGATTTCTTCTCTGGCTCATTAGTTGTTTAGAATAAATGCTATAAATGATCTTGTTGTTATCAACTTCTGACTTTGTAGGGATGAGAGAATGTGGCCTGAATGACCTCAAGCCTTGGTGGACACTGTCTGGCGGCCTGGAGGGCACCCAGGAGGGGGATGGCCAGCACCCAGCTTCTGCTCTCTCCACCCTCAGCATGCCCCGAGGCACAGCTCTCCCCTGTCCTTGGCCTGCCTTGACCATGTGACCATGAGGGCCCCCTCCTTCTGCATACCCTGCAGCTGGGGTAAGCTGGGGACACTCTCACCGCACAGCAGGACTCAACCTGCCCTGGGCGTTGGAGATAGGCCCTGGTCCTATTAGAAGCAGCTGTGGTTCTGCCAGCTGTCCCTTTATCTGGTCCCACCACTGACATTCCAACACCCGGCCGGGCCTGATCGCAGGCTTCGCTCATGAGTCCCCTCCACCCCCTGCACTCCCCGTAATGGATTCTAGCAAATTTCCCAGAAGCTGCAGCCAAACCTAACCCAGAGGCTCTGCTAAGCTTCTGTGCTCCCAAGAGCCTTTGCATGGCATCCAGACCCCTTCCTTCCCCAGCTGGGTGTGTGCTGGCCATGTGGGGTCCCACCTGATGGACTCGCAGGGGCTTTGAGGGAGCTCACGGTGTCCATCTTTACCCTGAGTGTCCACCTCACTGTAGTTCTCTAACCTGCACCTGGATATCGTGCACACTCTCCTGTGCACACGAGCACATTTCAGTTTTACAAATATAAGAAAGAACTGCGGAGGCCCAGCAACCCCAGCACCAGCCTCCTACACTCTGAGCTTTCACACCCCATGTCTCGTCCCAGGACAGTAGTGATCCCGGCAGGTACACACAGCTACTCCATGCTGAACACTAGTGCAGGCCTTCACGGTATTGACTTGACCCTGCCACGAGTTCCCTAGTGTCATCCTATCCCATCTCACATGTGAGAAAACTGAGGCACAGTGTCAGGAGGCATCAACCCTGGCTGGTGGGCATCTCACTGGGGACCTGGCCAATGGCAGTGGGAGGGCCCTAGGCAACCTCACCAATGCTCCCACCTGGGGTTCTCAGTCTGTCCTGTGCCACGGCAGACACGGCCCTCGGACTAGGCCTCTCCTCCCTGCCTCCTCCAGGGAGTGTCTGGCAGCCTCTTTAGGTGGCACCAGGGTGCCCTGATACTTCAGCTCTCAGAAGTAGCCACAGGGATTTTGGCTCCTCAGGCACATGCG